CTCTCGTTTTGCTCTCGTTTTTTAGACACACACACAAATTGGGAAGTTGCATTTTCTTCATAAAGCTTCCATGCACACACACAAACAAACAAACAAACAAACAAACACATGCACCACATGCTGATACAACCCAGTATTCAAAAATGTTAGCTAATGAAGTTTACTGTGAGAAAAAAACACACCCAGATTCCCGAGAGCCCAATGCCTTCAGAATTTGCTTGAAAGCTTGAGCTACTGCAGCAGGTTAATTACAGCAGCCTGCCTGTTGAAGGACTGGATTGGTTTCTGTTGGGTGGGCTGGAAGCACTCACCTGACCCTCCCCAATCAGCTGCATCCCTGTGGTATAGTGGGAAGGAGAGGAGCAAAGTGGCAGTGAGGTGAGGTGGTGGCAGTGCAAACACACTAGCGGAGCCAAACCACTCCTGCCAATGCATTTGTACTGCACTTCCTCATTTCCTCCCCACCCCTTTCCCTCCCAATTCACTGCAGCAATGTGAGTGGATGGGAGATCAGGTAAGTGCTGCCGCCTCACCCCACTGACTGCTACTGCTTGAATGCTTGCATACCCTGCAGCCTAGCACGAATATATATATAAAGCTGATCTTGAGTTTAAAATGGGGGGCTTGCTCTTGAGGTCTCTTAACATTTTCCTCATTCTTTCAGATCCAGCATATTATTGTACTTTCTTCTCCTTTAGTTTAAATATAACACTGCCATTATCGTTAACACGTTTAAGCACCAATAAAAAACAACAACCCCTAAACCTAGCAAATATTTAAAATTCTACTTCAGTATGCGGGAAATGTGATTGTGGAGAATGTGATGGGGAATTGAAACTTATCAGAGAGAACCCAGATTTTCAGTGTGTTTTTATTCTCCTGTTATTCATGCTCACTGCTCTCTCTCTCACCACATATCTTGCTCTAAGAATGATGCTGCAGGCAATGCAGCAAGCAAGAGTGGAAACATTCACTTTACAATCCTTAGTTTCTTAAGAAAAGTGCTGTTGAAGCTTCCATATCTAATGCAGACATGTCACATGGGTACACTGGAAAGAAAAACCCTAAGGGGGATCTCTCTTTTTGAATGCTCTGCCCCATATTCTGCTACACTGAATCTAACAACATTCTGTAACTACATTTAACAAAGAGGAAGAGGAGGAAGAGAAAGGGCTACTGATAAAAAGGTTCCTTAAAATGGAAGCAATTTGATGCTGTAAACAAGTTGCATTATTACTTCCAGTGGCAGATACTATAGTTGGGATTATGTACAACATTTTGAAGAAAAAGCAATCTTTCACTTTCTTTCTTTTCTTTAGAATAGAATTCAAAGTATTGCTACTGAACATTGATTTACCTCTGCCAGGACCTATGCAGAATCTAGAATTGGCATAGCATCTCTACTAAGACAGCAGGGGATAAAGGAAAGGAATTCACAAACATATTAAGCAATGAAGGGCAGGTATCATGGGGAAATGGTGGTTCAAAAAGACAATGAAGTATCTCCTTGATACTTGTTAATGTACAAGAACAAAAGCATGCCAACTGTTCAGCCATGAACTACTAAACACACATATTAGGGATGTAGGACCCAAATAATGAGGCAAATCAGAATGATTCAGGGGTCTCCTGTCCTCCCAAATCAAAGTGTGATTTACTTCCATGCTCCAAACACACAAAAATAAAAACCCAGTCAGATCAGGGCCCTCACAAAGCCCTGTGTCAATCTATCTGTGCTTTTCTGTGTCATATACCTTTATTTTCTGGTCTATATGCTTGTCTAAACTGATGGGTTTTGGAAGAAATGAGGCAGACCCAATTGTTGCCTGAACAGCGTTGGGTTGTTGTTGTTGTTGTTGTTGTTGTTGTTAAGCACAGCAGCAAAGGATTTTTTTAAAAGTTAAGTTTCATATAGTTGGGATTTTTTTTTTTACATCTTACATTGCTCTACTTGCTTTAACAACAACAGCTTCTCTCTCTTATCCCATACGAGCTCTTCAGAGGTCCACAGGCAGCATTCTAGATATCCTCAAGGCATTCTAGATATCCTCAAGGCCTATTAGAGACCTGTAAGAACTACTGAATGGTCTAGGCGTGTGTGGTGCATTAGAGGGCACAATCAACCACCAGAAAGAAAAGCTAGAGTGAAGTGGCAGGTGTTGTTTTTTTTAAAAAATCACAAACTAAAATGCACACCACTCTTAATTGTTTTAAGGCAAGAAAGAAAGAAACTATCATTCCCTTTTTAGTCCCCCACCCTACAAAAATAAGTCCCTGGGCCTATTGCCTGCAATTCTATGAACCGCCCTGAGACCTCCAGGTATAGGGCGGTATATAAATTCAATAAGTAATAATAATAATCTGGCAGGCTTAATAAACTTTGTGGAGGGGTTCCTCTTACTGCCGCACAATATGTTTCAGAGTTAAACACTCCTTCAGGAGCTTGAAAAGCTTGCAAGTTCCTTAAAATCAAATCAATTCAAGAACCAGCTCAAAGAAGTAGCAGAGCAAAGAATATTATTTTTATTCTTTACACTTCTGTGTTGAACCTCTGCAGATACCCACTGAGCTACAGCAAAAAGTAGTGCATCACTGAGCACTGGGTCCTGTTTACCTTTTCATTTTCTTCCCTTTCAACATGGCCAATGTCTAGGGTTTACAGATGGTTTGCTTATGTAAGTTGTGATAAGCTCCAATATGCTGGAGAGAACCCCTTTTTAAAAAACCAACGACATGCATCCCCCCCCTCATTTTCATGCAGGCTTAGTTTACCACAAAGTAACTACAATGAAATGCTTTAAAAAGACCCATTAAATATTCCTTTTGAATTAGTGCGAGAGCACCAGAGCTCCTCTAAATGAAGTTATTAAAAAAGCAAGATAGACATTTATATAATGTGAGGGCTGGCACAATTGCAACATGTTGAGAGTGAAAGTTATGTAAAACCTTTTGAAATATGTCACTTCTCACCACTTCAGAATATGTATATATAAACCCGACCAGAATATCTTTTACAAGCTAGTAACTCGCAAGTGACAGTTCCGGATCTTCATTCCTGGCCCAGCATATGATGCTGCTAGTACCCTCTGGTGTTCCCCAACGGACCACAATGTTATTAGTCCTCTCAGAGGACATGGCTTAGAGCTCTTGGTCTCTGCTCTTGGACACAAGAGCCACACTTCATTATCAAGTAGGACAGAGGATACCTTATCTCTTCCCTCTCCTTCCAACAACACCCTAACGGTTCTCACAAGGTGCTTTCACATTTCTTTCTGCTCCTCTCTTCAGTTCTCCACCTGTGTGTGGCCCTCTGCTTTCTCTGATACTTATAAAGCAGAAACAGCCCTTCTACATCTCTGCTCTACCACACCTGTACTCCTTCAGTATATCCCTGGACTCCTTCCCTATTCCTGTGCCAGTGTTTCTTCCAGCCTCAAAGCACATCTGTTGCCAAATTTGCTTTTGCTACATCTATTGTTATCTTACAAGGCCCCACCCTCCACTCAGCATAGTGTACCTTCATTACCGTTGCTTTATTTATGTGGAACCATATAATCTAGGTGATGCATTAAACCTGCCTTGGTGCAGTAGCCTGGATGACAAACTGCTTCTATCTCAGCAACTCTATAATTTCCAAGAACGTACAGTGTTTTACAAGGATATTTAACTCAAATCAAAATTTATGCTGTGGATTGGAAACCCACTAAACTTAACAGTTGGACACAACTCAGTTATATAGACTTCATTATAAATTATTTGACACCACAATGGGTTTTTAAATAGAGAATTTAGTGAAAAACAGTTATCTAATTAAGGGTCCAAACAATCCAACAAATGAACATGCTGACGTTTTATTCTAATGCAGAGACCTCCAAACAAAAGACCTGAATCATTATGCACATCATAGGCATAACTATGCCCCACTAAATGAAGAATTTTACAAAGAGGTAGAAACCTAGCAATTTTCAAAGGTGGATAACGTGCAACAGGAGTGCAAGAATGTGTGTGTGTGTGTGTGTGTGTGGAGGAAGACAGTACTTACATGCCATGTGAAAAGCAACCCCCTCAAAACACTCTCATATTTGTATAATTCCTTTACTAAAAATGCAAGAAGGAATTTCCTCAGCTCCAAATAAAATGCTATTGTTATTTTTGTTGTTATTGCTATGAAGAATAAAAATACACTTTAATTTAAATGACGGCCAGCATTCGAATACTGATTGAGCTGAGTGAATTCAAGGTGTTTGACATCTGCTGACTGCCAGCAAAGGAAGACCCTTTATATCGTGAGCTGAGTGAGATCTAGATTCCCACACCCACTCCTGTGCCACAGAGGACATGCTGCCTGGCAAACTGACATCAAGGTGTGATTGCTTACATCACAGGCTCATGGGATTTTGGGAGCTGAAGCCAGGTATGACACCAGGGAAGAATAAGGATAGAGGAAGAAAAAGATGAGGGCAGAAAATGATTCTGGTATAGTCCTAGTTCCATTTGGACACTATGCAATTTCTAGAACAGTACTAGATTTGTGTGATTTTACCATGAGAATTTATAAGCTGCTCTCAGGGCTATAAACTTGAATATATTTAATCAAGATATATCAGGCAAAGAATTAGCCCATTATCAGAGAATGAATTGTTGTGTGAACAGTGTACTTTCCAGATCAAGAACCCAACCAACTGCTTAATTGTTCATCTTCATGAAAATAAATGAACAAACTCTATGTTGAGTAACACACTAAAGTACATTTATTTTGCTTCTGATGCTGCAGTACTAAACACACCAGGGTGTAACTTTAGTTGAAATCAGTGTGTCTTGTTCCTTAGTAAACACATCTTGGATTGTGCTGCATGTCATTTTATATAGAGAAGAGGGTTACCATTCTGGGAATAGCTATTTTCCCTGCTTCTCAAAATGTAAATGCTAACAATATATGCAGAATTTTCATTTAAAATACAGGTTAAAAATATTCTGGCCATCTGCAGAAGTTACATTACTTTTCATGATGTTTCCATGGCAGACTTTTTCCTCAAGAAGCTTGAACAGATGCTTAGAGCGCCATTGTCTACTTGCTTGTATCCATGAAGATAATTTAGAGCCTTTTGAAATCCTCAGAAATATGGTCCTTGTTTTTTTCTGAAGGAGGTCTGTCTGCAAAAAGAATTTCAAATAAACAAAAATCCACTGAGTACACATATTCATTAGGAATTTATGAATACAAACTCTGCATTACAGGATAACCTTTTATAAAAGCAAAAAAATTTATGAGGTAACAAAAAAAGGACAGACCTGATAGAAAAAATAATAATATTGTAGTTATGGCAGTGCTGCTCAGAGTTACAATATGCATATTTATATCATTGACGTATTTATAGATTTTATACATGGTCATCTTAGTAAAAGTAAAATCTCAAATTCACAAATCATAATGCAAAGGTTAATATACAATGCTTCTCACAGCATCATAACTGACATGAAGCTTGTCTGCTAACTCTTAACTGTACTCTATGAAGTAAAAAAATAAATAAAAGAAATTATAACATATCCCTCTTGCAAATATTCACTGAAGCTAGCAAAAATAGTTTTCAGTGGGCAGCCACGTAGTTGAAGCATGGGACTTGAGATGTTTTTAATGACTAAAAAGAGTCACTTCAACAGATTTGTGGAATGCTGTCCTGAGTTGGCAAGTACAGGTAACTTGCAACTTACACATATTTAACTTGCATGCATTCAGCTTTACACACTTGCCAAAAATAAAAATCACAAAAAATAAGGAGGGTAGAAAGACTTTGGGCTATTGACTGTCTGGCTCCGAAGCTTCGATTGCATGAAGCTTGGACAGCCCCGTGGTTTTCCCTGGAGCTGAGGGCGAGGAAACAATCGCTGAGACGGCTAGAGTGCCGGTGGCGGAAAACGCATTCTGAATTGGATCGGACATGGGTTAGAGCTCAATATTGAGCCTACCAAGTGGCGATAGCGAAGGTGAAGAGGACTTTCTTCACCGCCTCTATTGCATCTGCAGAAAATAGCAGCAGGAGACTCTTTCAGGTGGTTCGCAATTTAACAGAACCACCTTTGCCATCAGGGCCTTGTAAAGACCCCAAGATCTCCTGCAATGATTTTGCAAAGTTTTTTTGCAGATAAAGTCGTTCAGATTTGGAAGGAGGTAGACTCCACCGTGGGAGCAGGGCTGGGGTGGGAGAGTGTTAAGAGTCCTGTCTAGTCTAGTTGCCTGGAATCAATTCCAATCTGTTACCTCTGAGGATGTGGACAGGCTGCTTGGACAAGTGAAACCAACCACCTGTCTCCTGGATCCTTGCCCATCCTGGCTAATAAAAGAGAGCCAGGAAGGGCTGGGTGATTGGCTCTGTGGGATGGTGAATGCTTCCCTCTGTGAGGGAGCACTCCCAAACCTGCTGAAAGAGGCGGCCATTAAACCGCTTCTTAAAAAAACATCTTTAGACTCGGCCAATATGGCCAACTATCGCCCAGTCTCAAATCTTCCATTCTTGGGCAAGGTGATTGAGCGAGTGGTTGCTGAACAACTCCAAGCACACCTGGAGGATGCGGACCATTTGGATCCCTTCCGATCGGGATTCAGGCCTCATCATGGGACTGAAACTGCCTTGGTTGCACTGGTTGACGATCTCCAGTGAGCTAGGGACAAAGGTGAAAGCCGCTTCCTAGTTCTGCTGGATCTCTCAACAGCCTTTGATACCATCAACCATAACATCCTTCTGGACCATCTAGAGGAGCTGGGAGCTGGGGGCACTGTCATACGGTGGTTCCACTCATTCCTCCTGGGCCCTGTTCAGAAAGTGGTGGTGGGGGATGAGTGTTCAGACCCCTGGGTCCTCACTTGTGGGGTGCCTCAGGGTTCTGTCCCCATGCTTTTTAACATCTATATAAAGCCGCTGGGAGAGATCATCGGGAGATCATGCAGATGATACCCAGCTCTACCTCTCTTTTAAATCAGAACCAGTGAAGGCGGCAAAGGTCCTGTGTGAGTGCCTGGAGGCAGTTGGAGGATGGATGGCGGCTAACAGATTGAGGCTGAATCCTGACAAGACAGAAGTACTGTTTTTGGGGGACAGGGGGTAGGTGGTGTAGGGGACTCCCTGGTCCTGAAAGGGGTAACTGTGCCCCTGAAGGACCAGGTCATTTTGGACTCACAGCTGTCCATGGAGGCACAGGTCAATTCTGTGTCCAGGGCAGCTGTTTACCAGCTCCATCTGGTACGCAGGCTGAGACCCTACCTGCCTGCGGACTGTCTTGCCAGAGTGGTGTATGCTCTAGTTATCTCCCGCTTGGACTACTGCAACACGCTCTACGTGTTTGAAGGTGACCCGGAAACTACAATTAATCCAGAATGTGGCAGCTCGACTGGTGACTGGGATTGGCTGCCAAGACCACATAACACCGGTCTTGAAAGACCTACATTGGCTCCCAGTATATTTCCGGGCACAATTCAAAGTGTTGGTGCTGACCTTTAAAGCCCTAAACAGCCTCGGCCCAGTATACTTGAAGGAGCGTCTCCACCCCCATCATTCTACCCAGACACTGAGGTGCAGCGCCAGGGGCCTTCTGGTGGTTCCCTCACTGCAAGAAGTGAAGTTACGGAGAACCAGGCAGAGGGCCTTCTTGGTAGTGGCTCCTGCCCTGTGGAACTCCCTCCCATCAGATGTCAAAGGATTAAACAACTATCTGATGTTTAGAAGACATCTGAAGGCAGCCCTGTTTAGGGAAGTTTTTAAATGGCTGATGCTTTAATGTATTTTTATTCTCCTGTTGGAAGCCGCCCAGAGTGGGTGGAAACCCAGCCAGATGATTGGAGTATAAGTAAAATAATAATAATAATAATAATAATAATAATAATAATTGGCAGTCCCACCTGCCACTGAACCCAATGTGTTTTGACTATACACAATTTTGGCTTTACACACTATCCCTGGGATGTAACCCCCATGTAAGTTGAGAGTTAGGTAAAGGTAAAGGTACCCCTGCCCGTACGGGCCAGTCTTGACAGACTCTAGGGTTGTGCGCCCATCTCACTCAAGAGGCCGGGGGCCAGCGCTGTCCAGAGACACTTCCGGGTCACGTGGCCAGCGTGACAAAGCTGCATCTGGCGAGCCAGAGCCGCACACGGAAACGCAGTTTACCTTCCCGCTAGTAAGCGGTCCCTATTTATCTACTTGCACCCGGGGGTGCTTTCGAACTGCTAGGTTGGCAGGCACTGGGACCGAACAACGGGAGCACACCCCGCCGCGGGGATTCGAACCGCCGACCTTTCGATCGGCAAGCCCTAGGCGCTGAGGCTTTTACCCACAGCGCCACCCGCGTCCCCAAAAATTTGAGAGTTGCCTGTGTATAAACTTGGTGTAGAGCAGGATTTCCCATAGTGGTTGCTATTAATTGCCTGGGGTCAACGGGATTATGTAGTGGGTTGATAAAGACCTGGGGATTCAAAGGGGGTGGGTTGATGGGGTTTGGGAAGAGAAGTATAGTGTGAAAAGTTTAATGAGGAACTATAAGTCTCAGATAGTGATGTATGGAAGTGAGAGCTGGACCATAAAGAAGGCTGATCGCCGAAGAATTGATTCTTTTGAATTATGGTGCTGGAGGAGACTCTTGAGAGTCCCATGGACTGCAAGAAGATCAAACACATCCATTCTTAAGGAAATCAGCCCTGAGTGCTCACTGGAAGGACAGATCGTGAAGCTGAGGCTCCAGTACTTTGGCCACCTCATGAGAAGAGAAGACTTCCTGGAGAAGACACTGATGCTGGGAAAGATGGAGGGCACAAGGAGAAGGGGGCGACAGAGGACGAGATGGTTGGATAGTGTTTTCGAGGTTACCAGCATGAGTTTGACCAAACTGCGGGAGGTAGTGGAGGACAGAGGTGCCTGGCGTGCTCTGGTCCATGGGGTCACGAAGAGTCGGACACGACTAAACGACTAAACAACAACAATAAGTCTCAGAAATAAAGAGTATGGGCAACTACAGAAAGCACCTCCCTTTCCAATGAGTATTTAATATGATACAACAGTATTCCCAGGCCATGCTTCTTTATTATTAAGAAAACCGTATCCCAATCCATTATTTTCACCTGTTTTACTTCCCTTTTTTTACATCTTATGATTCCTAGTACTGGTGACTGATCATGAACAGATTACATATTGATATTTCTTGACTTTGTTTTATTTACGTTCCTAGAAATTTGGGTTGGACTCAAGGACAACTTTATGGGACGCGGGTGGCGCTGTGGGTAAAAGCCTCAGTGCCTAGGACTTGCCGATCGAAAGGTCGGCGGTTCGAATCCCCGCGGCAGGGTGCGCTCCCGCCGCTCGGTCCCAGCGCCTGCCAACCTAGCAGTTCGAAAGCACCCCCGGGTGCAAGTAGATAAATAGGGACTGCTTATCAGCGGGAAGGTAAATGGCGTTCCGTGTGCTGCGCTGGCTCGCCAGATGCAGCTTGTCACGCTGGCCACGTGACCCGGAAATGTCTGCGGACAGCGCTGGCTCCCGGCCTCTAGAGTGAGATGAGCGCACAACCCTAGAGTCTGGCAAGACTGGCCCGTACGGGCAGGGGTACCTTTACCTTTACAAGGACAACTTTATAAGCTCATCAAGGAGTCAATGAGCTCAGAATATGGGAAACCCTGATAGCAATGAGGTCAGAGAGAAATTAAATTCAAGACATATAGATGAATGTAAAATAATTACAAAGATCATTCATAAAGCAATGCTGATAATACTATAAACTATAAATACTATAAACATCCTGAAATTTGTCAACTATTTAACAGATATATATTATGCCACAATAAAGGTGTTAATCTAAGGTGTCACAAGAGTCTGTTGTTTTACTAAAAATAAGTAGACCATCTTGAAATTGCATCACTACTGGACACTAATACATAAAAATTGCAAAAATTGGATGTATATATTCTATGGACATTTGTTGCAGAGTACTGGAATATTTGTCAAGGTCATAAATTTGTCTCACTTCAAGAAAGCTTTTCACCACCCACAACTGCTTATTTCAGGTTGTTCCTAGGCAACAGCATTCAAATTAGTGAATGCTGGCAAAGAAATTTAAGATCTTTACAATAAAAGAATTGCATTGGTGGACTAGATCAAAGACTATTTCAG